TCAGGTTGATATGATATTTTAGAAAGGTTAAATAAATTGTAATGTTAAAATTAATTTCACCTGTTTCTTTTTACCTTTTAAAAGTGTGGCTACTAGAATATTTCTAATTACATATGTGTTTTTTGTTACTATTCTATTCAATAGCAATGGGCCGGGCGTGGTGGCTCATGCCTGTAATCCCACTATTTTGGGAGGCGGAGGCAGGCAGATTGCTTGAACCTAGGAGCTTGAGACCAGCCTGGGCAACATAGTAAGACCTCGACTCTACCAAACACACACACACACACACACACACACACACACCCAAGATTAGCCAGGTGTAGTGGCATGCACCTGTAGTCCCAGCTACTCAGGAGGCTGATGCAGGAGGATCATTTGAGCCTAGGAGTTTGAGACCAGCCTGGGCAACATAGTGAAACCTTGTCTCTGCAAAAAATTTTAAAATTAGCTGGGTGTGGTGACACATGCCTGTGGTCCCAGCTTCTTGTCTGGGGTGGGAGGATTGCTTGAGTCCAGGAGGTTGAGGCTGCAGTGAGCTGTGATTGCATCACTGCACTCCAGCCTGGAAAACAGAGCGAGACCCTATCCAAAAAAACCAAACCAAACCAAACCAAACCAACAAAAACCGGCGATGATCTAGAATCACCTGCCCTCTTATTTGCACCAGTGTTCCCTCTGAGAGAATTATGCACTGTGATTCTATTTGACAAGAGGGCCATCTAAGTCACTCGACTCCCCTCTCAACGCCCACTATGGAAGCTGAAGGAGCCAGAATCGAGAAGTTTGCTGTGAATCTGAGCAATTAGATCCTTCCTCCCAGGACTTAGATTCTGGAGTAAGTGGTGCAGGGACAGAAGCATTATTTGGAAGTCAAATTCAGCATAGGATCAGTGTCAATGTGTAGCCTAGACTTGTAAATTCCCCCACACTACATTGCGGCTATGAATGGGGTGGGGGCGGAAGGGACAGTGAGGAATCAGATAGCATGTCCACTACAGAAGTATTATCAGAGGAAGATGTTAACTCAGAGGAAGACCAGGCCAAGCCTCAAGTCTGATGGGTTAGGTGAGCCTCTGAACAGAAGAATAAGCAGTAAGGCTGGAAGCCAGGGAGAAGGAAGAAAATAAGAGTGTGCAGTGGAGAATGAGCTGTAAAGAGGTCTGGACTAAGAATGAATGGTGGATGGGGGTGGTAGCAGATGAAAGAAACCACATAAAGCAAAAGATTAAGACACAGGTTAGGACCCTATGCTTGCCCTAATCCGCAGTCCTAGGAAAACCATTCTCTGAGTTTTGGAAGGAAAACCTGGGTTAATTAAAGAAAAAACACCCTCTGGGAACATCATTGTCATAGCACTCATGGGGACTCCTGCTGCCAAAAAAAGAAACAATAGGCATGACCTCTTCCCTCCTTCCTTCTTCACCAGGGAGGAATGGTGGGCCCTGACTGTTTCCTATCTTCACATCCTACTTCCTCTATAGCCCAGGTCGTGGGGTTCCCACAAATGGGATGGATGCATTTTGTTTTTGTTTTAAAGAGACAGGGTCTCACTCTGTTGCCTAGGCTGGGGTGGAGTAGAGTAATTATAGCTCACTGCAGCCTCGAACTCCTGGGCTCAAGCCATCCTTCCACCTGTCTTCCAAGTAGCTGGGATTACGGACACACACCACCAGATCCAGCTAATTTCAAATTATTTTTGTAGAGACAGGGTCTCACTACATTGCACAGGCTGGTCTTGAACTCCTGGCTTCAGGCAGTCCTCTCCCACGACCTCTCAAAGTGTTGAGATTGTAGGCGTGAGCCACTGTACCTGGCCTGATTCTGTTCTTTTTTTTTTTTTTTTTTTTNAACAAAACTCATTTTCCTTAAGTACATTCATGCATACTCCAAATTAAATACAGAATATGAAGTACCTCTGAGCTTTGCTGTTGAATATGGTAGCTACTAGCTACATGTGAATATTTACTTTATAATTAAGAATTTAATGACTCAGTTGCACTAGCCACATTTCAAGTGGTTAATAGGCACAAGCGACTACCATATTGGACCATGCAGATATTTTAATAGAATATTTTTATGATTACAGAAAGTTATATTGGATAGTTCTGATCTAGACATTTTTGCTGGAGGAATGGAGGAGAGAAACACTTCTGTGTAATTCTAGGGAGATCATAAGCACAAATAATAAGGCCTAGGATTACCACTTCTCATAATAAAAAGTAAAATTTATAGCCATTTACAAAAAAAGCAATTACCCCTCAAAGAGGAAGATTTACATTAGTATCATTATTATCACTTTGAATCCATATTTTTGCAACATCAATAATATGAAACTCAAAATATAATTTAAATAGGTAGGAAGATGTCATATTTTCCATATAAATATGTGTTAAATGTTTTAACAGGTCTGGCTTAATTAGTATAAGAATACCACAGGCTGGGCTGGTTTTTCAAAAATTGTAATAGCTTATTCCCTGTTAAAGCTAAGAAATACCTTTCAATATACCCTACCTCCAGAAGTGTCAGGGATTACTTGTTTTTTAATCCAAGAGAGATTCATGAGATCATAAAACACAATCTTTATGGTTCTTTGCTTTCCCTTTTCCAAAATCTAAAATTGTTCAGAAATATTTAACCTTTTTTGATTTATAGCAATTACAGCTATTTGGAGGATCCTGCCATATAAACCTAACAGATAAAATTGGAATGATCCCAGTTGGTGGGAAGGGTGTTTTTATTTAAGCTTTCAGTAGCAGACAAGTAAGGATAGCAGAGACTTCACTCCAGTTTTAATTCATAGAATATTTTGTTCCTACATTTCAGAATCCTGGATGACTTGCTGCTAAGAGCAGTCTGAGGTCCTGTCATGGAACATCCTATCTAGTCCAGCATTTGAGTTATTGGAGCTGTATCATTTTAGTGCCTCTATTTAAGTTTAAACCGATTACAATGTACTGGAGGCAAAGACCCTTTTTCTTCCTCTCCCTGCTTTTATGCTCCACTCCACAGCTGATTGCAGAACACCATGAGGACTGTACAAAAGTGGGTTTTAATTCAGACATTTCAAAATGAGTTTCATATATATTAAATGCCATATAAGTCTCCTCTCCTCTGCGTATTTTCAGGAGTAGTAATTTTATCTGAACTCTGATTTTTCATGTTTTTTTTTTTTTTTTTTTTTTTTTTTTTTTTGAGATAGAGTCTCGCTCTGTCACCTAGGCTGGAGTGCAGTGGTACAATCTCAGCTCACTGCAACCTCCGCCTCTTTGGTTCAAGCGATTCTCCTGCCTCAGCCTTCCAAGTAGTTGAAATTACAGGCATGTGCCACCATGCCTGGCTAATTTTTTTCGTATTTTGAGTAGAGACGGGATTTCACCACGTTGGCCAGGCTGCTCTGGAAGTCCTGGGCTCAAGTGATCCTCCCACCTCGGCCTCCCAAAGTGCTGAGATTACAGGTGTGAGCCACTGCAATTGGCCTGATTCTGTTCTTAACCTCTTCCTTATCCTCTACTTCGGAGGCCATCTTCCTTTTCCCCTCCTGTGCCTTTGTCTCTATTTAATGCCTTGCATGGGATGTAACTTACTCCTCCCAGAGGCTGGAAATGTTTCTCGAACCTCAGCTCAGTGACCACAGCCCTGCTTTCTGCCCACTGACCACTGCTCAATCCCTGCCTGACAACTTGACAGGTGTCAGATGCTCTTACATTTTCCATGGCTTTCTCCCCACACTACCACGTTGGATAACCTGCGGACAACATTGCTTGGTGCCTTGGAGTCTGATGACCTGGTTAACTGTTATACTATGCATTCTGTTCTGTCTACAGAGCTCCTCACACCGCCTTTGCTGAGAGCCCCTCCCTATGGTGCCTCTTTTGTTGCTGTTTACCCCCAGGAATCTGGTCCTGCTAGGAGACTCATGATCACAGCCACTGATTCAGGTAGATCCTCTGAAATAATCCAGCCGCTATCTCAGCTCTCTCTGCCTGGAAAAACCTTTCTCCATAGGATCCAATCAAACTCAGCCTATCAATATACATCTTTCCAGCTTTTACTTTGATTAATACCATGCCATTTGAGCAATTTCTCCCATTGTTTTTGCCGAGGACTAGCTTCACTGGCCACCTGCTGCTGAGTGAGTTTTAGGAGTTCAGTGGTATTTGTTTAGTTCACTTGATGTATTCCAAATGCCCACATCAATGCATGGCACACAGTAGATGCTCAGTAAAAAATCATTGAATGAATGAAATAGAAACCATAACTCAGAATCTTCAGAGGGGTTAACACACATTACCAATGACTAGTACTCGTGTTTACAAATAATTCACAGGGTATATCTTACTTATAGCACCAAAGGTAGATTTGTTTTATCAATACTGGGTTTAAGAACATCCTTTAGGATAAATAGCAAGTAAACATATACAAAAGCAGAAGCTCTTTTCCTTTCCACTTTGATGTGGATTTCATTTCTACTCTAGCATTTCCACTGTCACTGCTGACCAGCTTTGCCAACCGCTAACCCAGGTGATACCATACGGACCCAGTGGACACTGCCTACCAGCCCCTCCTCTTCACTTTCCTCCTGGATCTCTCCAAAGGCCTCCTAACTGGTCTTCCAATTCCCTTTTTCTCCATCCTCCCACACATCCTCTGCAAGTGGCCATTGGTTCTCCTAACACTGTGAATTATATGGGACAGAGCATGGGGTCGCAGAATGGCTGAAGAGGACTCACCACCAAGCTGTTTAGAGATGGACATGATAGGGCCAGAGCTCAATCCACCTTCAGAAGGTGATGTGGGGTGATGGTACATTGGCCTCTGTCTCAGGATCGTGAGGTTTGAGTCTCAAACCTTGCCCCCTTTCTCTTGCCCAGTTCTGATTTCAACCCCATTCAACTTGTCAGAATTTTGAGTGGATGTTTTCTCTGGTTTCTTTAGTTGGAACCTCGGGCAGCTCTGGGCTGAATGGACTGACCCATGGCCCCCAGTGTGAGTGATACTACCTGTTCCATTCCTCGGGCAGCGGAATGTCTTGAGAGCCAGGACACCTGGCGTCTAGGCCTGGCTCTGCCACTAGCTGCATGACTTTAGGCAAATCACATCACCTCTCCAGGCCTCAGTTTTCACACCTGGGAAATGAAGAGTTTGCATTAGGTTAGTGATTCCCCACTTTTTACTTCATTCCCCTCCCAAACACAACCAGTGATGCCTATTTACCTATGAGACACACACCCTGTACAGCTCCTGGGTGCAAACTTTAATTTCATCCCTTTTTATTTTCTTTTTGTTGCCCAGGCTGGAGCGCAGTGGCATGATCTGGTTCACTGCAACTTCCACCTCCCGAGTTCAGGCGATCCTCCTGCCACAGCCTCCCAAGTAGCTGGGACTACAGGCGTGTGCCACCATGCCCGGCTAATTTTTTGTATTTTTGGTGGATATGGGGTTTTGCCATGTTGGACAGGCTGATGTCAAACTCCTGAGCTCAAATAATCCACCCGCTTCAGCCTCCCAAAGTGCTGGAATTACAGATGTGAGCCACCGTGCCCAGCCTCATGCCTTTCTTTTTCTTTTCTTCTTTTTTTTTTTTTTTGAGACAGGGTCTCGATGTATCGCCCAGGATGGGTTGCACTTGTGCAATCGCAGCCACTGCAGCCTTTGTCTCCCAGGGTCAAGTGATCCTCCTGTCTCAGCCTCCTGAGTAGCTGGGACTAGAAGTGCACACCACCATGCCTAGCTAATTTTTGTATTTTTTGCAGAGGCAGGATCTCCCTATGTTGCTCAAGCTGGTCTTGAAGTCCTGAGCTCTAGGGATCCACCTGGCTAGTGGATCCACCAAAATGCTGGGATTATAGGCATGACCCACCGTGCCCAGCTGGCTGGCCTATTATCTCATACTTTTATTCGAGACTTCTCCACCCAACTACCATTCTTGCAGTCAGCTATGCCTGCAACTTCTCTCTTCTCAGATAGACGGTAAATCGCATGAGATTGCACCTATCATTGCTCTGCGATCACTGCGAACAACAGTAACGGGGCCAAGGTGGGAGGATTGTTTCAGCTCAGGAGTTTGAGACCCGTCTGGGCAACATAGCAAAACCTCGTTTCTACAGGAAAAAAAAAAAAAAAAATTTAACCAAATGTGGTGGCACATGTCTGTAAGTCCCAGCTACTCAGGAGGCTGAGGCAGAAGGATCACTTGAGAAAGTCCAAGGAGATAGAGGCTACAGTGAGCCATGATCACACCACTGCACTCCAGCCTGGGCAATAGAGCGAGACCCTGTCTCAAAAAGAAAACAAAAAAAGTGACTGGTAAAAGAGGTGTTTAGCAAGTAGTTGGTGAATAAGTGAATGATGAAAAGATTGAAAGCACAAATCAATGAATGAAACGATTTCTGTCTACTGATTTCCTCCTTTAGCACATCCACGGATCCTAGTCTTTCTCATGGTTTTTGAGACAGGGTCTTGCTCTGTCGCACATGCTGGAGTGCAGTGGTGTGATCATAGCTCACTGCAGCCTCCAACTCCTGGATTCAAGAGATCCTCCCACCTCAGCCTCCTAAGTGGCTGGAATTACAGGTGTGTGCCACCATGCCTGGCTACTTTTTTTTGTTTGTTTTTTGTAGAGACAAAGTTTTCGCTATGTCATCCCGGCTGGCCTCGAACTCCTGGCCTCACATAATTCTCCTCCTCGGCCTCCTAAAGTTTTGGGATTACAGGCAGGAGCCACTACACCTGGCCGTCGTTCTCCTCTTCTATGATAAACACTCACACAAACACTTAGACAATTATCAACCCCAGGTAGGTTCTCTCTTAACTTTAAGAGTCAAAATATTCGAAATATTTGTGAGGCTCAACTGTTTCCAGTTCCTCATATCCTATTTCTCCTAAATCTCTGCATTCTTGCATCTGTTGTCTCCACACCAGTGAAGCTATTTGCACCAACATCATCAAGATCTTACATGTTGCCCAATCCAGTGACAACAGATTTCTATCTTTGTTTTACTTGATCTCCTAAGTCCTAACAGTATTTTAATGTCTGCTGAGTTTATTATTCTTATATATCCAGAGGGGAGACAGAAATGATTTTTTAAAACAGGAAAATGACAGTAGAAATAGTTATTGCTTTTGTTTTCCCAAGGCAGTCAGTTTAAAGGACACTAAATACAACACAGTTTAGAGATTACAGGGATTCATTTGAGTTTTTTTTTTTTAATACTTCATCTTTTTTAACCAAGCAAAAATGTTTTTGTTTTTTAAGACAGTTTCGCTCTGTTGCCAGGCTGGAGTGCAATGGCACGATCTCGGTTCACTGCAACCTCTGCCTCCTAGGTTCAAGCGATTTTCATGCCTCAGCCTCTGAGTAGCTGGGATTACAGGCATGTGCAACCCCGCCCAGCTTCTTCGTGTATTTTTAGTAGACACGGGGTTTCACCATGTTGGCCAGGCTGGTCTCGAACTCTTGGCCTCAAGCGATCCACCTGCCTTGGCCTCCCAAAGTCCTGGGATTGCAGTTGAGAGCCACCATGGCCAGCCTGTTTTGGTTTTTTGAGATAGGGTCTCGCTCTGTCGCCCAGGTTGGAGTGCAGTGGTGTGATCTCGGCTTACTGCAAATGAACCTACAGGTTCAAGCAATCCTCCCACCTCAGCGTTATGAGTGGCTGAGACTACATGCATGTACCACCATGCTGGGCTAACTTTTGCATTTTTGGTAGAGATGGGGTCTTACTCTGTTGCCCAGGATGGTCTTGGACTCCTGAGCTTAAGTGATCCTCCTGCCTTGGCCTCCTAAAGTCCTGGAATTAGAGGGGCGAGCCACTGTGCCTGGCCACTATACTGATTTTTTTTTTTTTTTTTGAGTCAGAGATTCTCTCTTGTTGCACAAGCTGGAGTGCAATGGCGTGAACTCGGCTTACTGCAACCTCCGCCTCCCAGGTTCAAGTGATTCCCCTGCCTCAGCCTCTCAAGTAGCTAGGATTACAGGAGCGTGCCACCATGCCCAGCTAATGTTTTGTATTTTTAGTAGAGATGGGGTTTCACCATGCTGGCCAGGCTGGTCTCGAACTCCTGACCTCAGGTGATCCGCTTACCTTGGCCTCCCAAAGTGCTGGGATTACGGGTGTGAGCCACCGTGCCCGGCCTATACTGATTTTTACAGCTTGGATGTGCTGCCTCTTTTTGTACTTTGTATAAATGGCATCACAGCCACGTGAGGTGGCTCACGCCTGTAATCTCAGCACTTTGGGAGATCAAGGCAGCTGGATCGCTTGAGTTCAGGAGTTTGAGACCAGCCTGGCCAACATGGTGAAACCCCATCTCTATTAAAAATACAAAAGTTAGCTGGGGGTGTGTTGGCATGTGCCTGTAGTTCTAGCTACTTGGGAGGCCGAGGCAGGAGAACCCAGGAGGCGGAGGTTGCAGTGAGCTGCGATCAAGTCAATGCACTCCAGCCTGGGCAACAGAACAAGACTCCATCTAAAAAAAGTAATAAATAAATAAATAACAAATGGCATTATACACAATGTACTCTATATGTTTTGCTTCTTTTGTTGCACGTGATATTTGTGAAATTTGTTGGTATTGCATTGGGTTGTTGAGGCTCCCTTATTCTCACTGCTGCCTGAGACTTCTTTTAAGAAAGCTCTGCGCCTCCCTACTTGGGACCTTCCTTCCCACAGTAATTATGGTTCCCTCACTTCCAATAACATTTCTGTTCCTCCTTCCGTGCTTTTCCTCCATAAGTCTGATCACCTTGCTTCTTACCTAGAACTAACTTCCATGGAGTCAGATCAGTGCTCAGTACTCTTTGAACAAGTAAACCTCAGTGACCTCCGCATGGCATCCAGCATGCTTGTGGGGGGAGGGAATGCCAGGCTGCCCAGACTGAAGATGGGTCAAGAACTGCAACAGGCTGGGCATGATGGCTCACGTTTTTCATCCCAGCACTTTGGGAGACTGGGATGGGCAGACTGCTTGAGGCCAGTAGTTCGAGACCAACCTGGTCAACATGGTGAAACCCCATCTCTAAAAAAAAAATTTTTAAACTAGTTGGGTATGGTGGTGTGTGCCCAAAGTCCCAGCTACTAGGGAAGCTGAGGTGGGAGGATCACCTGAGCCTGGGAGGTTGAGGTTGCAGTGAGCCATGATCCCACCACTGCACTCTAGCCTGGGCCACAGAGTGAGACCCTGTCTCAAAAACAAAAAGAAAAACAAACAAAAAAGCCCTGCAACAAAGGGTCATTTAGCAGGAGAGCACAATCTGATGGAGCACCAGGTATGGCTCTCTTTCTGTAATATTTATACCACAACCATAAATATACATGTGAAAATTCTACATAAAATGATTGCAAGTAACTTTTTAAAGCTTATGACAATCAAGAGACAAAAAGGTTCAGAAACATCTATTAATAGGGAGTATCTGAACTTTCTGGATTTATATGCTTTTGCATGTTTTGAATTTTTATAATAAGCATCTATTGATTTAGTAATTAAAAATCAAGGGATAAAATGCCATACTTGAGTCACATTTATCCTATTACTGTCAAAACAGTTCAATATTTACAAATTGATATAAAAATAAAACAAAGAGCCAGGCCTAGTGGCTCCACCTGTAATCTCACCTAAGGTAAGATGATCACTTGAGGCCAGGAGTTTAAGACCACCCTGGCAGCATAGTGAGACCCTGTCCAAAAAAATGTTAAAAAATTAACCGGGGGCAGTGGCATGTGCCTGTAGTCCTAACTACTCGAGAGACTGAGATGGGAGGATCACTTGAGCCCAGGAGTTTGAGCCTGTAGTGAGCTGTGATCATACCACTGCAATCCAGCCTGAGTGACAGAGTGAGATCCTCACTAAAAAAAAAAATCATGAAGTCATACAATATTTTATAAAATCACAAACCTAACAACAATAGAAGAGTACCTGGCTTATCATAGGCACTTAAGTATTTCTTGAATGAATGAATGAAAATATATTAATATGTTAAATCATCCCAATAGGTCAAGTAAAAACAAAACCCCACAATCCCACAATGTTACTAATAAATGCTGAAAAGGTATTAAGAAAGAATCCAGCACCCATTCCTGATGAAAATCCTTGGCAGGCAGTAAAGAAGAAGGTTTCCGTCACATGT